GGATCTTGAACATTAAAATTGCCACATGCGGTCAAATTTGACGTTGTTTTATATGAAAGTTGTTCGTTTTGCCATTAGCACAATTGTGGAAAGTCACAATGAAACCAACAAACAAGCTTAACGCTAGTACAATAATATCTATCGCTGTGGGCTCAAGTAGAGCAACTCTCAGGAACTTGTCGCAGCACCAATTCGACCACTGAGGCATACAGGCACGAGACGCCCGCCTAGAGCGCAGGGAAGTCCGGGTTCAAACTGACCCTGGCTGAGGTAATACTTTTCGCCATAAATTCTCTGTACTGTTAAAGCGCCAGATATGGTCAAGAAACTGAAGTTGCCTAACGAAGGAGCATTTAATTTTGTGTTCTAAAAGAGGAATAAATAGAATACGTCTCGAGGAATCTGTATTATTGATACGAATGTCGGTGATGTAAGTGTGTCGTGTCACTGCGACGTTAGCGCGCCATTTCTAACGAGGAAACATTTTCCTATCGTAAAACAATAACATAATCGACGTCTATAACGCGGGTTATTGACTCTTTGGTCGACGTTCCAGCGATTAATCGACGTGCAACAAAGCGCGCAGCGTGCACGAAATAATTATTCAGTTTAATCAGTGAAATTAATAAGATCCGCGACTGTTGTGAAATAAATAAAGCGGCAAAATTGCCGCAATTCTATTTCGAACGCTTATTAACATACCGCAGCGAGTAAATTTAATTTACAACTGTGTTACCAGGTAGTTAACTCGCTGCAGGGATCGCGTGCGCTCGCGATTGGTTCCAGATCTAATTTAAGATTCTAATCTCACAGGCCGCTCCGAGCCTCCCCAATATAATAAACCTTTAGCGTTTATAATCCCTTTAACTCGAGTGCCTTTTAACTGAGATGCTAATTTTTCCTTGTACAGATTTCGCGCTTTATTAATTATAATATCAACACGACGGTGTAAAAAGTCATCGATTCGAACTAAATTCAATAATTCGCCCTTCAACTGCGGCACGAGGAAACTTTTTGAAAATCATAATCGCCCGCCAAACCGTATTCACGTTAATTCCGCAGATAAAACCCTACGACAATATGATCAAAGATAAAGGAATAATAAGAAATGATCCGTTCATTATTTCTGTTAAAAAAAAAACTTAATCGCTCGTTGCAAACCATTCAATTTTTATTGGAAACCGATATCTGGAGTAAGCTAGAAGGATAAAAAATCCTCGGTCAAGTATACGCAGCATCCCTTTACGACCGCGAAACCCTCGTTTCCCACAATGGTGATTTTTTTTGTCTCGGTCCGAGTCTCCTCAGGTAAATCGTCCACAAACGGGCCTATATCCGTTCGCGCAAACACGCAAATGACCCCACCAACCTGTCAATCCTCGCCGTCCACGCTCGCCACCATCCGCATCATCGCCGCGATCGTATACGCTTAACAACACCGATGATGGGGACGGCGGCGAAGTTGCGGCCGATCGATCGGATCCCTGCACGGTCACCGGCGAGATCGCGCGCGACAATTTCCACACACACTGGTCCCCGCACAGTCTCGGAGAGGTGACTGGGAGATTCTGTGGACCGACGGTTCTGGTTCACGACTGGTTCTTCTCCTTCTCCTTCGGCCTCTGGCCCCTTCCATCGGTGCACACACCGTTCGCGGCGAGAGACGCGGAAAAAGAGACGCGGGTAAACGGGCGGCTGTACGCGCCAAGAGGATCGAAGAGAGAAAGAAGAGGCGGATGAGGATGCTGAGGCTCTCGACAGGTTGCCTCTCCCCCCCCTCCTCTTCCTTCTCCCCGCGCGGGTATCCGAGGAAAAGGGACGAGACGGGGTGGAAACTCTTGGACCCACTACTCGCCGTAGGGATCGGTAGGGTCAGGGACGCATTCGCGGATTTTGATATATATTTTGCTCTCCGCGTCGCCTTCGTATTCCGTATACGTTCGTTTGATTTTGCAATGACACTCGTCGACGAAAATAAGGATTCTTAGCATTTTTGCACTTGCGTTCAGTCGATTTGCTTCCTTTGTGGCGAAATGATAGAAACGTTTGGTTTCTATTATCTCGTTCGGCTCGACAGCCTCGTCGTTTGAGAACAGAGAGCGGATAGTCCTTTTCAATCTTTTAATTTGCGTCCGTATCTTTGTTAGATGTAAAATTAAATTAACATGGACGTTCCTCTAGTCTGACTGCTGCTAGTTGATTTGTTCCCTCGACTTTACGGAACTGCGAAAGAATCGAGGTAATCCCGACAAATTATTCTGGCAAATCTTCGGCCCTGAATAGGGCCCTTCAGAACTTTACACCCCACTACCTGGCACCGACGTGACCCGACCAAGTCCGAGAAGGTTCTTACCTTTGTCCCAGGTAGAAAGCCGATAGCTTCGAAAGGCTGCGTTTTAGAATAAAAATCTTTTCTGTAAAGGTCGCTGAAATGTCCGCGTGCGAAATTGCGACGAAACTCGTCGTAATTTTCTTTTATTAAATATTCACAATCTTATTTCGTCAGGAAAATACTTCTCTTCGCACAACGAGAACGGATTTCGAAACTTCAATGATTACTTGACCGCGTCTGGCAAATTTTTATGTTTAAACTCACGACGTTTCGACCATCGAGTGGTGATTGTATTTTTTCTTTTTCGCGAAATCAAGATCTGTTCCTTCAATTCGCCGCACTGAACTTTTGATGCGATTATCACTTTGTAAAGGACCACGAACCACGGTCGAAACGTCGCGAGTTTAAAGATAAAAATTTGCCAGACCTGGTCAAGCAAGCATTGAAGTTTTTTGACTACCACTGGTGACTTGGAAGATCACTTTCTCGTTACGAATGAATTAAGCATCGGCCACTATCAATACCGCGTACATTTTGCAACTGACATCGATACTTTTCGATAACCCGGTATTACGTGCAAGTTGCTCAACTAAACGTTAGCCTGGAATATTTGTGATGACATAGAACTAATCAATGGGAAGTAGCCTAATGATGATTTGTCGCCAAGTGCCAAAGTCAACAAAGTTTAATAAAGCGACTGCACAGCGGTGGCAATGACCTGATCGTGCAAGAGCGCGAATTCAGCGACTCGATCAGCTCCAGCTGGTGCACTTGCATAAGCAATAAACGGATTTCGTCCTTATATCTCGAGTTACTACTTGACGCTATCTTTACCCACGTCTTACCTGTAACGCGTTCGAGTCAAATTACTGCCTCGAGCTAAGTAATTATTTTTATATAATTAATCGCAAGACACTCCGAAATCAATCGACAAACTGGCAATAATATGACAAGATTTTAATATAACAATAAAAATACGACGTCGATTCCATTTTATCATTTTCGTTGAATCGAGCAAGTCCTTTGGATAATGAAATTTTCTACGCGCAAAATACATTTTTTTTCTTCTTCTCATTTGCATGCGGCGAGTCGATTAGGTCCAGCTGGAGCACTCCACGCAGCCATACAAATAGATCTTGCTCTCGTACCTCGCGGTGATACTATCTTCGTCCGTCGAATCGCTGTTCCGTATTTAAAGAGCGCGGGTCAAGTACCCGCGCTAAACATTCAGACATCATATCCGCGTACGATGACATCAAGCAAATTATATATACGTAACTATCGTTTCCTTAATCTCACGCGAAAACGCTCGCAAAATTCTTTACAAGTCAAACAGAAATTGTGCATAAATTCATATTATTATCTTCATAGCAGAATATTCGTGTTCGTTGACGACGGATAGTCGGATCGCGGTTTTAATGCAGCTCGCGCTTTCGGCTTCGATATGTACATGCCTCAATTCACAATCATTGAATGAAAAAAAATGTGGAATTCCCAGTGGGTGGACCAGTTCTCCGTCCCCGAAGATCTGTGCATGACCGCCGTGTCCTTTCACGACGAACGTATCACTCCTTACGAGTTTTACGAAGAGCGCTGCATCGTCATTCTTTTTTTCGGTCGGTCTTTCCTTTTCGGCCAATACTTTCACTTTTGCACAATTGCTTTGGAGCTATTCCTTAAATAGACATCCAGCTTCGCATTTCCGAAACATTGAAAACAAGACGTATCATTCTTATAAATAAATTCACAATGTTCCCTAGCGGAAAAAATTTCTATAAACAACTACAAAAAAGTGACTTGAAATAGAGATTTGCAGAAATTTTTGTATCTTCGTTGAAATATTAATTTTTTGTAAAAATATCTACAAAACAGTACCACAAATGTTACAATGTTCTCAAATCAAGAAATAGTATTTCATGAAAATGTACAATTTTGTAAAAATTAGTACCAAACTTTACTGGTTTTAAAAATTTGCGAAACAACAAAATCTTAAAGAACTAAAACATCTGCTTGTAGAATATTACAAAAATTAACAAGTGTTCCAATTCTAGCAATTTCATGTTGATTTTTATAACACTTTTAATTTACGTAGAATTTCTTAGATTCTGACAGTATATCTTTTGTAGAATTTTGTAGAATTATTTCCGGCAGGGAACCTTAGCGGAAAAGTTTCTATAACTACAAAAAATTGACTTGAAATAGAGATTTGCAGAAATTTTTGTATCTTCGTTGAAATATTAATTTTTTTGTAAAAATATCTACAAAACAGAACCACAAATTACAATGTTCTCAAATCAAGAAATAGTATTTCATGAAAATGTAGAATTTTGTAAAAATTAGTACCAAACTTTACTGGTTTTAAAAATTTGCGAAACAAAATCTTAAAGAATTAAAACATTCGCTTGCTTATAGAATATTACAAAAGTGTTCCAATACTAGCATTTTCGTGTTGAATTTCATAACACTTTTTAAATTTGCGTAGAATTTCGTAGATTCTGGCAGCTATATTTAATTTTTTTTGTAGAATTTTATAGAATTATTTCCAGCAAGGTTATTAATACTTTCGTTGTTCACTAAACTTCAACATCATTATATTCGCTGTAAAAAAGAAATTAAAATGGAACGCAGCAAATTACCACGCGGTAGGAGGATTCGATAATAGACGGGATAGGATTCAGATCATTTTATTTCCAAAGCTTTTATGCACATGTAACGATCAACTGCGTAACAATACTGTTCCTGGTGGCCGTAAAGGAGGCTTGTTTTCTCTCTTTCAATGCGCACCGTCGCGATACTTGGATTCTTCACTTTCACGATCGTAGTCTCTCTCTCCCCCCCCCCCCCCGTCTCTCATTTGTTGCAATAATAAAGTAGTCAAGAATTAAATGGTTATTTGTCGTACATTATGTAGAGAATATACCTATAGTTCGTTACACACGTAGTTTCTTCTTGTAATCAAACGGCGAGCCGCGTGAAAATCGCTCGTACAATAAATCGCCGTAATACTGCTCGAATTGTCTCGAGTAAACCGAGAGTGCGATCGTACACCTCTAGACAAAAAAAGAACGCACGTTATTAACACCCGCGAACATTCTCGACGAAAGAAGCCTAGGGATACGTTGCAGTGACGTTTTATACAAGATTAGTCGGAGTTGCGTCAGCGACAAAAATCACCTGCTCACTCGTTTTCTAGCTTACATTACGGTCGACTATGTTGGCAATATAAGATTACTTCGAAATCGGATATCAGGAACGGTCTCCCTAACGCCTGAGTATCCTCCCCGTCTCTTAAACATTACAATTTTACATTAAGACTTTTGAATAGTGAACGAGACCGCGCGTATTAGTGTTACGGGACACGTGAATCTTCTTACGTAATACGCAAATAGGAAAATTCCCATCCTTAGGAATACATAATGTTTTAAAAGCACACTTCCTCTCTTTTTCCCCCCACATCCGTATACCTAATTTTTTTGTTTCTTCTACGCGCACAACACTTTAGCGATGAACACGAGAAACCTATTCACGCTGTTCTAATCTACAAAAATCGAACCCTGCACTCACATCTCGCGACTTACGCGGATAAATAATTGTCACCGAACAAAAGTCTCATTCTTCGAGATGGATCGTATTTTTCGGAACGCGACCATCTTAATTAATATAATTAATTATATATAATATAACAAATTAATGTAATTTGTGTCGAAGAAAATGGGAGTCTAGAAAAAATTCTGCGCGCGTAAATCGAGAGAATCGTGTGTATGTGTGTGTGTGTGTGTGTGTGTGCGTGTGTGTGAAAAAAATATATTGCTTGCTGAGCCTCGTGAAGTAATACAAAACGGTCGCCTAGAAAATTTATATAAAAGTGTAATACAATAAATACTGAAGTATACTCGTTAACAAGTGGCACGGACTTCTTGACTGCTCGTGAGAGAAATTGATCGTCGATGATGGTCGAGGGGACACGGAAAGATGTTTATTGTACAAGCCTTTTCAATGGGGGTCCGACTAGCGTTGACAGTGTTAATGATTACGGGAAGGAGTTACATGATTTACAAACATGTTAAATACCTGAGAAGAACGTGATCACGAGCGCTGGCGAGTCAAATCGCGCGCTACCCTATTATATCGTCCGTATATCTTTTTTTCTTACAATGACACGACTGCCGCTCTACGTTGTTTAATAATCGAGACGTCGATATCTATATAAAAATCGAAGATCTATGCGAGAAGCTACGACGACGACGACGGCGGGGCAAAAACGTATACGTATAAAAAAAGTAAGAGTTGAAATGGATACATCGAACACTTTCTCTCGCTACGAATTATGCAATATCCAAATTGATATTTCGCATAGTCGCTCAGCATCTCGGGAATATCGCCTAAGTATGTACAGAAATCGTATACGACTGAGGATCGCTCCGCTTATTATGCGCGAGTAACTAGCAAATAGCCGTTCGGGTGATAAATCGATTTTGCAAACATTCCTATCGTGTCGACACAATGGCCGCAGATTTGAGAGACTGTGGCCTTCGGGTCAAACGGCGAGCAGTATACTTGTTGAATACGTTTACAGCAAGAATCTTACTGCTTATTTTATTTTTTATTCATTTAAGGGAATTATATTTACTAAATTAGGCAAGCAGTTGCGGGCGAGCCTAAAAGTAGAGAAGAATTCTTTTCGTGTCGTGAGTTTTTGCAAGACAGTTTCTCGGGTAGTCCAGTAAAACTATTTCTCTCCCTGTGTAGGAGCGAGTGTCGTTTGACTTTCAAGAACGACCGTCGCTATTTTTGCTCTTTTATATTCTCTTCCCAAAAGGAGAAGAGTACAACTGGTTTCGGAATAATTCGTCCTCTGCAAAAGTGTATGGACGCGCTAATGGCGTCTGTTTGCTTTACTTTCTCGGTAATCTTTTCGTCTCGGCCACGTAATCCGCCAACAATGGTATCGTGCAAACTTTCAGAGCATTTCCGTAAGCTAATTAATATTAGAACGTAATATTTCGTCCCGCAAAACGCACTCTTGCTGGTTGACACACGACCTTTAAGATGCTTCAGGATATTACGTTTTCTTGGTCAGTCTACAGGCCTTCCGTCCATTTGCGTAACTTCGACTACGATGAGTAAATGGAGCAATAAAAGTATGCACGGTTCGGTCGGAGGCAACGACCTAGGGTATCCCGAAAATAATGTATGCCAGCGGCAGGCATTTTCGGCCTCGAAAAACTTTTCAGCCAATTATTTACTAAACGACAATTTTATTCGAAATTTTACAGTCATTAATTTCAACCATACTTGATGTAAAAAGGTTGCATTAAATCCGAGAGATCAGATTTGAAAGAAAACGAGGTGCTGCAACTCGTAACACTGAAAAATAAAATGTTGCCACCGAGACACGGCACTCATAAAGCAATTTGTTTACACGACTCGTATATTTATGGGATTAGAATTTTAATAAAGCTTCTTTCAACGACATGTAATAAAAGCGTTTCGACATCGCACGAATTCCACCGATACTTTTAACTCGCGGGCGGGCGATGTTAATAAAATTTACACATCAATAATGGTGAAATTACGAAATCGCATGATACAATTTCAAATATCCGTTAATTATACATGCCGCGTTAATTATCGAATAAGTGTTACAACACACGGATGCTACGACACAATCGGAATATCGTCGTAATATTTACAATGATATGTGATATCAAGCGACAGTATGCACAGTGTATGCAGACTTTGTACGAATCTTCTTCGCGACGTACTCTCTCTAATTCTTACGAAAAGTTTCTCTATTTACTAGCGCATGCGTACGAATAGGAAAGAAAAAAAGAACAACGACAATCAATCGACGAATGGGTGTGAGGTAAATGGACAAATAAAAAAACGATTTACAAATAAATATAAAACATATATTTAAATTAAATGCCACAAAATATCTTGCTTTGTGATAAATCTGAAGTCAGAGTGTCCCTTCTTTTTTTTTTTTAATTCCTCCACGTGAAATTACAGTGCCAACGAAAAATAGACCGACTGCCCGCCGTTCTAAGCGGTAACGTGCACGTTTCCACAAACATGACAGAGCAACACATAATACCGGCACGTCGGAAATTAAGTGAACGTTGTACGCGCTATTTGAGGAAAGGATCCATTTAAAAAAAAACTTCCCTAAAAGCTACCGGCAATCTAATTCGTCGGATGAGTCCTTCTCATCGATTCAGTCTTCAATTTATCAATCTACTGCGTATTAATCCACCGCACCACAGTTTCACGCGGATTCGTTAGAATTAATTAAAATACTAGTCGTTTCGTGCCGCGCGCGCGCGCGCGCTAACGAAGCAAGGGGGGAGTCGAGCCGAAGAAAATTACAAATTGTCGATTCCTCGTCTCTTTCTCTCTCTCTCGTCCGTTCCCGTCCCGACTTTCAGGACTGAACGAAGCTTTCTTAGGTATACAACGAAGCGGTTACGGTCACCCGAATGCGTTTCGTCTCTATAAAAAATAAGCAAGTTAAAAGAAATTCATAGAAGTCCACCTCGGGTTCGGGATTAGATTAGAATTTTCTTCCATTCGTCTCTAATGCCCGTAACACGCGTACGTAGAAAATACTTGTATGTAAAAGAAAAAAAATAGATTCAATACTTTTTTTTTCAATTGTTCCAAAATAATCCCCGATATTAAATTGAACATTTTCTATGAATCCCTTTCAATCCTTCTTCCTTACGTCGTTAGCTCAGAGAGTACCGATCGACATCTTCTACGGTTTACCGATGATTACAAAAGCGTAGGATTACAAAGGCGTATTTCGGAAACGAATATGCTTTCTAAACGTGACACGTCTTACAGTTAACGAAACAATTATTGCTGCTAAATTGATTGTAAACGGGTACATTATTGCTCTACGGGAGCTTGGGAGCAATAACGCGGAAAGTCCGTGGCTCCTCCAGCCATTGAGCCCACCGTTAGCCAAGGAGCAAGTTCTTTGACGATCGCTGGCCTATCGGAGTCGCATCGTTTCTCGATACCGCTCGCAATCCGTTGATACGATCGTTACGCGCCGCGCAGTGAACACTAACTGTGGTACATACAGGTGGCTTTCGGAAAGAAAACAGGGAACCGTATCGTTTCGCGTATGGACGTAGTAGCGTTTCGCGACATTTCGTTGACTCGTGTTACTTCGCATATTACTAGCTGGGCTAACCGTAGCTGCCTGTTCCTCGTCTCGCCTCGACATCGACCGATTAAGCTCAGAATTAAGGAATCGCATTCGGCGCTAAACGTCGCCTGCGCAATTTTCATCGTTGCGCACGATTCTCGCGTCAAGTAAACGACGCTGAAGATCAGGAAGGACAACACAAATCTAATATTAAATGCAGCATTATACGCGGCCAAGTTACGTAAGGTGCGACACCCGTGAAGCAATTAGAGTTTCAACGCTCGCGAATTCCAGCGGACTCCTCCCCTCCCCCCTTTGCAATATTCACGCAGATGCGTATACACCATATGTAATACGTCCTTATGCAGCTATGCGGCTAATTGATATCCGTAGGTAATTATCTGCTTACACGATTTATGTACAAGTTATCACGATTTCAGGTAGCCGAGAGGATCAGTGACGATGATGCGAAGCATCGCTTTATACTGCGCGGTAACGATATTCAGCGCCTGTTTACATTCGACATAGCGTAACACGCACACGCACACACTCACACGCATACTCTTTCATATTCCTCTTGCCGTTCCTCCAAATAATTATCATAAATTGGCCTAATTTTTATTATCTTTCAATTTTCTCTTTCACTACGTTCGCCAACAAAGAAATTCATTTTATTAACGCGAGCAACAACTAAGCGGAGCAACGCAGATTGCCTCCGCGGTAATATTTTCCTTTTCTTCCGAAGGCAAAATCGACGGGAGGCGGCACGAAGGGCGCCCGCCACCGGGAAAAAGAATTCGAACGCTACGTCCTCGCCGCCGAACACATAGAGACACAATCTACAATTATCCTACTAATCATTAATAGTTAAATATCACAATCTATGATAAGAAATCCGCGTATATGCGTCTTGCCGCATCGCTAGTTACCCGCGCGCTCTTCACCCGTCCGGAAAGTTGCAGTGCGCAGAGATGCAAATCAACGAGTACGTACAAAAATAAATAATCGTCTTGGGTGAATACAGGCGGGATCGTGTGGCTCACTAATCTGTCTGTTTGGGTCCGCTTGCAAACCTACGTGGTACGCCTACGATTTATTCGGAGCGATCGATCAATCGTTCTATAAACGAAGCGCTAAAAATAAAGCGCAGGCCTGAGTCGTAGAAAAGAAATTTTCTCGAGAAACCGTTATCTATATAATATATATATATATATTAATTCGTTTGTCATACGTTGAATGCGCGTCATAATCCAATAATTATATAATAATTAAACAGTAATATACAGCTACACTATAGTATTTTGTCGTACATATATATATATATGTGTGTGTATATATAAAAAATTTTGTTCATTTGATATCCTACAAGGACAAGGAAGAATAAGGACCTAGCACTTTATCAGCGCTTTAATCAGTGCAATAATCGATCGTGCCACACAGTCGTTCGCGTAGATTTACGTGGACTTTTACTGGTAAGCGGAGACGAATAGAAATTCGCTGTGTTATTGAAAGGGCGAATAGATGAAGCAAATTATTATGTCTTTACGAGAGTGCTCTCTCGCTTCAAGGTAAAATGATCGTTTCCGAACGTTTATCGTGCATGCCAATCCAGGAGCGACATAGAGAAGGCCGAATTTTACAGTTTCATCCACTGGCCGCTTCAATTTGTATATCGAAACGCAAGTCACTCGAAAGAGATTATATTCGATTTGTCCCTGTTATATGTACATTTTGCAAACTGGTCTTGTTTCGCCGCGAAATTCCATGTGATGTAGAATGAAAAATCAAGTTGAGATATAAATCACTCGGAGCTACACAATTTCCATTGTATCCTTATGGCAAAAACGGTAGAAAGAAAGAAAGAAAGAAGCGGATATAGCGTATTAAATAATGGCGCCTCGTATTCTCGGAGTATACGTTTATGCAAATGGGACAAGAGATCGTGATCGATAAAAAATATATATATGTATATACAATAATGTACAATCGAGATTGCGCATCTGCGTGTACAATCTGCTCATATCATGGAGAAATAAGTCCAAGTTTTCCCTTCTACGCAAAGACTATGTGTTTAAAGGACACTAAACGCCTTCCTATGTACAATACGGGACAGATTTAATAATCTGCGGTCTATTTACAAAATTTATGCACAATTCAATAAAAAAATGCATGATATTGTATATACTGTGAAAACGCATACTTGTAACTTTTCCGCTCATATTTTGTTGTTTTTTTTTTCATTCAATTAAAGCTTCTAGAACTTGGCAATAATTTGTAGGGGAGCACAATACGTGCAAATTAAATGTTTTAATGTAAAGGTCCTAAAGAATATTTCGTAAATCATGATATTTTTCGTGTAAAAGCAAAAAAAAAAAACAAAAACATCTGGAATCCTTAAAAAGTTCGGCGTAATAAGTTTTTCAGATTAAAATTCGCTATATGATTTTAACAAGTTTCAGTTTCGACTATAATTATAATCACAAACAAATTCGGACGTATTGAGCATACATCGTTATGCTTTTAGTAGAAAGATCTAGCGAAAGATTTTACAATTAAATCGCGCAACGGGCCGTTCGAGTTGCAACCGAAATATTCCTGATACAAAACGCTCTTACCTTGACAAGCACTTCGAAATCATCTAACAAAGAATTCGTCTCCGTAATCACTGCGAGAGAGTCGTGATACACGTTGCTGTTAAGAAAACAGGACTGAAGGAATGTTCTGCGGCGTCGCGAGCTGTGTAATAAGTCACTCAATGGTACACCGTGACGTTTCCGTGCAGAAATTTCATGGTGTCGCCAACGTTGTTATACATTCATTCATTCACTGTCATCAAGACGCGCTCCCGATCGTTCTCGTGTCCGTTTATCTGGATCTCTCTGTGTCTACTTTACGTAATAAATTCAGCGAACAAACGGAAATGGGACGTTCAATCCGTTTCTTCCTGCGGAGTCGCACGAGTTCAGGTACACGTTCAGATACGCGACCATCGTGGGCCATCGATCGAGAACCCTTTCCTCGATGCTCGACGACGATCGGCGTACACGTGATCCGAGAGCTTGGTGCCGCGCGATATCAGCGAGAGATCACATCGCGTATCGAAGGCTCGACCAGGTCTCGATCTGCGATACGTCGCGATTGATCTCGTTGCGCAAAAGTAATCACATCGTGATGACGGCGGAAACAAAAGTCTTCCCCCCTCGACGGGCTGTAGACGCAACATCGACTGTGACGGCGATGACTAGGATGATGACGTGGGCGACGGTGAAGAAAAAGGGGGTCTCGTGAAGATAAGGAGGTAGACAAACGACGCCCGCGGCACACGGTCCTCAGCCCGGAGTGGGTGGGGTCTTGTGTCAGTGAATATTGAAGTTGTACTGTTTGCGGCTGGACGAGATGCGGAGCCAGCGGCTGACCGCCAGCGGCTCCGGATGACAATTCGACCAGGAGATGTCGCCGAAGTGAGGATACGGCGACGACGTGGTCGTAGCCTCGACCTGGATCGACGCGGACGTCGGGAAGTCCTGCGACGATTGACACGAGAGTTGCTCATGCTGCAACTTGTGCCTCTTCTGCTGCCGCAACGCCGAGCTCGCGTGGTTCAGCCTCTTGCCGTTGATCTGACTGGCATGCTGCTGCTCCAGCTGCTCCATCGGCTCGAACAGGTTCAGACTCGGCATGGAAGCCTGCATCTGCTGGTAGCTCCTGACCGAGATAGGTGACTGCGACGAATGGCTATTTGGCCGCGATTGTATCTGCATAACTAGCTGGGACTTGGTATCTTTGGTGGTGTAAACGGGCGAGTACATGGACATGGTTTCCGCGTCGATTTCCATCGGAGTCTCGCCCTCGAGAACCGTGGCCACCACCGTAGGTGGTTGCACGCAAGTGGCTGGCAGTGGTGCCGATATGACTGGCATTGTGGGTGTCGTGGTGGTGCTTGGTATCAAAGTAGCCACACCTGGCGACTCCTCGCTCTTGGCACCCGGTAAAGGGGACAGTGACGGCAACATGACGGATATCGGTGCCATCATCGAATTCGACTGCTGTTGCGACGAGCCGCTGCTGCTGTTGCTGCTGCTGCTGCCAGCGACCGTAGAATTGGCCACCAGCGTCGACTCCAGATTCCGCAACTCCTCCGAATTGACAAAGTCCTCCTCGAGTTTGGTCTACAAAAAGAGAAGCGTTGGCAACGTGTAGAGTAAGAATAGCACCCGCGTGAAGAGGTGGCGTTTAAGTGCCTAAAAGAAACCATGCCTTACAGGTTTAGTGGAGCCATGCGGGGCCAGACACCGATAAAGCAAATCAACAGCCTGCAATAACAAAAACAGAAAACAAGTATCAACCCGACACTCTCTGCATCTGTCTTTACGCGCGCTAGCCTGTGGTTGTATCTCGAATGGGACGATCGATCCATGTTCGTCAGCGGAATCGTATACTTGTACATTTCTTTTGTTTTCTTTTTCGTTTCTACTCCGATTGCAAATTACTTTTCACATATTTTTCACAAAGAAATCTACCAATATTGGCGACGACATTTATCTCTTTTATCAGACAATCCAAGTATTGTGCATGCGATAAATTAAAGACATTAAATATTTCGACATTTTGTATCTATACGTCTTTAAAGCAGTTTGGTCCTTATTAACTATTAAAAGTTAGTTTTCCAACCGAAACATTTGTGGCACGAAATATACGCATTCAGGTGAACTTTGTTCTTAATGGAGTTTGTTTTTAACTGAAAATGATCCACAATGACACAACTAAATATGAGAAACACAGTACCAAAATCATACAACGTAAAGAATACGGTGAACATATTGATAGGAAATATCTCGGATTTGATTTTCACGAAAAGTGTGTAGAAAATTGCGAAATCCTTCTGGTACACTCGACCCTGGACACATTCCAATTTCCAATTTCTTGGAAACCGCTAGAATCTCTACAATTCTGAAAACAGCTCGTTCGAGCTTGCCTCGATTAAGCGAAGCGACTTAATATTTCCAGAAGGAGATATTTCTGCAGCACCTTCTTCGAGCCAGCTTTTCAAATGTCTAACACTATGAGACAGTATGCAGAAATGAAAGTTCTTTTCAAAGCACTGTAAAAAAAAACAATAAGAAAGAGAGACAACGTCATGCATAATATTTCAAACTTGTCGAAACGTAAACACAAAATTTTGACAGAGAGTAAGAAAGCCACATCCTTTATTCCCCCAAATTTTTCTCAAATGCACCGAAAATAACAATAATAATACATATAGGTACACAAAGGAACTCGTTACAACTTAATCTCAGCTACACACAATCAAACTGAAACTTTCATTTCGTCATTGCACGAGCAATCTTCTTGGCATAGATTGCTCGCGCAAAAGAGCCTAATTGTAATGGTAACAATAGCATGGCAAATGAAGAAGATTCACACCGAGGACAGTAAGAACATAGGAGATCAGGGGAGGAAGGGAGAGAAAGTGTGTGTACATGTGTGTGTGAGGGGGAGAGAGAAAATTTTAGATACAAAATTGAGAATACAAGAGGAAAGAAGTCGGTCGCTTACCTTTGGCAGTGGATACGTGTCCGGTAGTGATAATACGGGCGGTGAGCTCGGCGTTTCAGAGTCGGCGATGGATACTGAAGTGTTGGGGACAAGAGGATTGTTCAGGTTGGATACAACGGCGGCGGCGGCGGCGGCGGCGGCGGCCGAGGACACGGTGACGGTGCCTGAGACCGTTACCTTTGTCGCCTGCCGGCTACCGCCGCTATTCGGTTGCTCCTTCGCGGCGCGATGTTCCGCGAGGAGCTTATCGAAGGTCTTGCTGCGACCGACGACCGTTCGGCGTAGCGAGACAGTGTGCGCTTTGCATGTGAGCGACCTCGTGCAGGGCTTGCCGGTCTCCTCGTTCCATACGCCGCAGTGCCGGTCAGGGTCGTATTCGCGGTCTTTGAGCAACGAACGGTCCGTCTTGAGCCTCTTCCGGCGAGGCTGGCTGCTGTTGCTGCCGCCACTGCTACTGCTGGGAACGGGGCTCTTGTTCGGGCTGCCTGCGCTGTTCGTCGACGCGCTGACAATGTTCGAGGGACCGGCGACGTTAGGCGAGGTAGTTTGCACCGTGATCGACTCGAGAGGCGATCGGGGTGACGAGGAGATCGGCAGCGAGCCACCTGCGGACAAGCTCGTCTGATCCGCAGTACGCTTAACGGTCGTGTGGTTCAGCTTTGCGCCGCCGACAATGGGAATCGCAGAAGTAACCGAAGGAGCCGGTGGTTGGGTGCTCCTTTTCAGCTTGGAGACCTTACAGAAGGGAGTTTTTACGGACGGTTTTGCAATTGGAGTCGCGGGAGGCGGGAAATTTGCCATGCCGGAAGGATGGCGACACTCTGTGGCAGAATAGAAGATGTCTTTACAACATGTACGCAATCCCTGCGATATAATAAGTTATCAATAGGTCGCAAATATTTTTCTACAATTTCAGTGAATCTTACAACTGCAGATGGAATTGTCGTGTATATACACCGTGGCAAAATTACTTTCTCATTGAAATTCAAGAACCTTAATATCCAAATTAAAAAGATACACAAATTGACGCGTCGTCCACTTTGGGAACACGCGAAAATTGTGCGCTGCGAGTCGCACGTTGCTCCAAGTCCTCGAGACACGACTTGTGGTTGAAGTTAAACCAACGATTGAGACGGGAAACTTACAGTCAACCCAACTGGCCAGTTCGAGCCCAGCCACCACAGTGCTCACAAGTACACGTATATTTTAGAACTAGACTCTGTCTTATTTGACGACGATGACTGACTCAGTATCGTTGTGTAATAAACTAATTAAATAACTGGCCAGTCGGGTTGGCTATAAGTTTCCCGTCTCAATCTTTAATCATTACTGGTGACAATAAGCAGACTCTCCTTTCGTCGATTAAACCAATGGAGGCCGAGAATCGAGCATTGGCATTGCGTTTAAATGATAATTAAGATTCTCGGCCGTTTCCTACCATTACAGTACGTCGCTACGCTAACGTAATGATCAATCAAGTGTGAATATATACCCATGTGTTGAACGAAAGCTTGTGGTTTCACTATGGCATCGCATATTTCGCAAACTACTCCGTAGAAATCATCCCTCTCGGGGCAAAAGCCATATAAATCAATATCTGAAAAAAAACATTGCGTCAAATTAATGCCATCGCAAGGGTCTGAGAGGGGAGGAAATCGTCTGCACAACTGCGCGCGCTATTATTCAAGTGTATCGTGGCAACTGGCGATTGCACGCGTGTATTACCTTCTGAGGAAAGACGTGTGACTGAGCTTGACGGCTGGACTTCTGTTTCTTCATCGCCTGAAACACATAACACGTTCATAACAGCATCGAATGTCGACCACAGACACTTGTCGCGGGCAAGGATTTTTTTTTTACTTTTAAACACCGCGTCGAGCATTTCGATCGCGTCCACGCGTGTTGCGTTTGTTGATAAAAATTGGGGTCGCGCGTACACGAAGGATCCGAGACGTTCAAAGTATATCATTTACATCGAAAGCTCCGTCGCGCGCGTCTTTTACCAAGGGACTGTTCCGCAAAAAATTTTCTCGCGGGAAAAAAGAAAGTAATTAACCGTTTAAATATAAAATACGAAATAAAGAACACAGAACTTTATGGGTAAGTCAGCTTTATTCCTTTTTCATTTACATCTAAGTATACATGCAGTAACAGCTGTTTCACAAGAATTCGCGGAATTCTCGCTCTCTCTCTCTCTCTCTCTCTCTCTGTTTCTTTCGGTAACAACGTCCCGCCGCGGAGACACCGCGAGTCGAGGTCCGTGTCTGCCGATCGTCCCGTTCTCGACGATCGACAGCGTACGCTCGCTCGCTCGAGAATTACATAATTGTCGGTTCCTGAAAAATCATCCGCGAAGACCCGGCGTGCCGCCGATAGATCGTACACAACAACCCCTTCGACATTGCCGCGCCCCCCCCCCCTCCCCCGCGAACGCACGCGCGAGCGAGCGAGCGAGCGCGCGCGCGCGCGCACGCGCGTGCATGTGTCGCGCTACCGTCAGCCGGACAAAGGAGCGTCGAGGTTGAGGTTAGGGTACGCGCGCCCCCGACGCCCGTCGCCGACGCGCGGGGCCTGGGCCGCCGGGCGTGCGGGCGCGGCGTCGCGGTGGCACAGATTGGGCGCACTTACTCAGCGGCTTGTCCCGTCCGATTCTTTCGATCCAGCTGGACCAGGGCTGGCCGTGAAAGAATGTTGGGCTGTCACTTCCCGACATTGCCAATGGCGCTCGCGTGCCGAGTGAAACACGGCGCGGTCCACGCGTGTATGGAGCGTGGCGAGATTGTTTTTCGGGGGGCCGGGCCGCGTGGTGGACTTGTGTGTCAGGTGCGGCGCGGCGGTATACTCCGCGCTATATCTACTCTCCCTCGCTCTCTCCCTCGCCCCCGTCGCGTGTGTGCGTCGCGCCGCGGCCAGACGCATTTGCCTCCTTCTCCACCTCGGCGCCCTGATCCACAGTTTGTGTGTGCCGCCCCTCCCCCCCGCCCCGCCCCGCCCGCGCCCCCTGCCAGCCGATTCCACTAAGTACGCGTAGCACGCGCGACGAGGCACCTCCCGGAGACGTCGGTTTCGACTAACATATCGCGCCCGGCGCCGTTTCGCGACGCGTCGTCGCGCGACCAAGATGCCTGGCTCCCGTCGTCTCCTCGCGTTTCCGCGTGGCTTCTCGAGACCCACCGAGCACGCACGCACGCGCACGCACACACACATACACACACACACACGCACCCGCGGCGTACCGCACGCGCGCACGCCGAGCACTGGCGGCACCGCGGTTCGGCATTGGCCGACGTAGGCCTGACGTCACGGGCCGTCGGAGCACGGCCAACGTGCGCAGAGCCGGCCAGCCAATCGCGGCGGCGGGAGTCGCGTACGACGCTGCGCGTAGATCATTGGCGTGCCGACCGTCCGGAGCGGCAGGTGGATCGTGTCGCGCGCGCCGCGCGGTACTCCGGTGTCATTCACGTACACATGACTTCATTGATAAATTTCTATTCAATGCAAACCGTGCGATACCGCTCGCCCCCGCCCCCCCCCGACTCGCCCCCCTTCTCCGTAAAATGATTGATCGTAATATCGTAAATGACATGTGTTCATTTGGAATTTGTTCAAACAAGATACTGAACATTCTGCAAGTCGATCTCTTCCCAGATAGCACACACAGTTCTAATAATATTCTTCTGGAGTGCAAATATTCTTAATTTCAGATTATTCTATAAATATACATAGATTATTACAGTTAGAAATCATATATTCATAAGAAAGAAGAACGTTTTTAGAATATTCGTCGAGGACGTCTTTCAGAGTAATTTTTTAATATTTATCGAGCTTACACATTGTTTATTGTGTAACACACTATAATGTGTAATACACGTAATATCGTAAATGGTATTAAACAAGATACTGAATATTCTACAAGTCGATCTCTTCTCAGATAGCACACATAGTTCTAATAATATTCTTCTGGAGTGCAAATATTCCCAATTTCAGAATATCCCAATCGAATATTCTGTAAATGTATAATAGATTATTACAGTTAGAAATATTCATAATAAAGAAGAACGTTTTTAGAATATTCGTCGAGGACGTCTTTCAGAGTAATTTTTTAATATTTATCGAGCTTACACATTGTTTATTGTGTAACACACTATAATGTGTAATAACGTAAATGGTATTAAACAAGATACTGAATATTCTACAAGTCGATCTCTTCCCAGATAGCACACATAGTTCTAATAATATTCTTCTGGAGTGCAAATATTCTTAATTTCAGAATATCCCAATCGAATATTCTGTAAATATATAATAGATTATTACAGTTAGAAATCATATATTCATAATAAAGAAGAATGTTTTTAGAATATTCGTCGAGGATCTTTCAGAGTAATGTTTGTAATATTTATCGAGCTTACACATTGTTTATTGTGTAACACACTATAATGTGTAATACACGTAATATCGTAAATGGTATTAAACAAGATATTGAATATTCTACAAGTCGATCTCTTCCCAGATAGCACACATAGTTCTAATAATATTCTTCTGGAGTGCAAATATTCTTAATTTCAGATTATTCTATATAAATATATATAGATTATTACAGTTAGAAATCATATATTCATAATAAAGAAGAACGTTTTTAGAATATTCGTCGAGGATCTTTCAGAGTAATTTTTGTAATATTTATCGAGCTTACGTATTGTTTATTGTGTAACACACTATAATGTGTAATACACGTAATATCGTAAATGGTATATGTTGATTTTGAATATGCTTAAACAAGATACTGAACATTCTACAAGTCGATCTCTTCCCAGATAGCACACACAGTTCTAATAATATTCTTCTGGAGCGCGCATATTCCTAATTTCAGATTATTCTATAAATATATACAGATTATTACAATTAGAAGTCTATTCTGTAGAAGTTTATTCTGTAATTCGAGTTATACATATAACAACATCGTTACTGCCTTTTCGTATAAAAATTGACTAATTCTATTGTAAAAGCGAATTCGTACAATCGTGTGACATTTGTTTCGGTCGCATTCGAGTCCTCTATCCGCGAGAAACCGGATCGATATAATAATCCTGATTGACGACTCTTCGAGAGGTGAAGTCACGATTTCTCCAAAGAGACGATTTTGACTAGGAATAACCGCTGTCGTCAACGGCCATAAATATCGACGATCGCGTCCTCGTCTTGCTGCTAGAAGCAAATGCTTAAATTTACAGTCTTGTCGGTTGTCCGATTTAGAATTCATCCTGTGTCTTAACCCGCGAAGAACGATCTCGTATTCGGCTGCGTCTGGGCTGGCTGAGCGGTGTTATTTGCGTCGCCGCGATGGGCCTGGATCGCCTGCCAGTTGATGTACCAGAAGGGTTGCTTGTCCCTCGGCCAGGTCTTGATCCTGTTCACCAGGTCAACGTCGCCGTGAGCGTCAACTGGCAGATCAGCTGGGTTTATGGTCGTGCTCATGACTGGCGTGAAGCTACCGTCTCCACCGTCGATTCGGTTCCCCAGCAGCGTGTTACTGGTGCCGAGTATCGGAGTTCCCGGAGTCCCTTGGTAAGTTGGAATTCCTGGAGTCCCTTGGTAAGTCGGAATTCCCTGAGGCCCTTGGTAAGTTGGAATTCCTTGAGCCCCTTGGTAAGTCGGGAATCCTTGGTATATTGGAATTCCTTGTGTCCCTTGGCGCACTGGAATTTCTAGAGTTCCCTGACCCACTGGAATCCCTTGAGCCCCTTGGCCTACTGGGA